CCAAATGGATTGGTTCGTCCTTGTACCACTGATTCCACCGGTCCAGATCAATTTGTCCCTCGCAACGTCCACGATAGTCCTCCATCCGCTCGCGGATGTTCTCTGAGAGTTTGTCCCTCGCAATCCTGGCAAGTTAAGCACTAAAAGAGTTTCACCAAAATGACCAAAAACATTGGAAACATCACTACTAGCTAATCAAAATGGTTCTGTTTCAGGTCAAGACTAAGACACGTCAGCAAAGGATGTCGCATAGTGTCCGTCATAGAAACTGCGAAAGAGCCTCTTGGGTAGAACCTGAGCACATGAATGAATGAGCACTGAATGTTTAGATAGGCGCAACCAACAAACAGTTCAAAGCAATGATACACAATTTGTCAAGGGACGGCTTCCTGATCTCGTCCACTGCTTCAAACCGGTCCGACAATCTTTTTAAAAAGTTCACGCACCTCAGTCAGTCTCGTCAGTCTGTCCAATCCATCCATCATTGAGTCAAATACTTACTAGAAGTGCTGACATTTCCACAAACAAATTACAGCAGTCAGTGAAACAAGCACAGCTGCTATAAAATTATTACTGTTCCGACAGAACCACTCAAGACAAATCACAACAATTGAACAACGACAACTATCCTGAAGTGAGTAAATAAAACAAAAGCATCGTGAATCGTTTAACCCAAGGGCATCAATTGGTCCAGCTGAAGGAAGCGATTGGCCTGGTCCAATGTCATGGCCACACCGCAGGCCTGACAGTACAGCTGGACCAGCTCACCGTCGAGTACGACTTGACTCATGGCCCAGCTGTTGATGTCCGATTTGAAACTGTCCAGTCCAACTATGAATGTGAATGTCAAAAAGAATCATCTTATGGTGTGGGTCGTTGTGGATGGGAACAGTTTTCCTAAGATTGACTACTTACATTGCAATAGCAGATCAGTATAGTGCCCAAATTGTAAAGACATGTTTGTCCCATTCATGCAAACACTGCTGTTAAGAGCGTCCTCATTGACTCATAACTAACCATATCAAAACCAAGAAAATAGGCTACTAACTATTGAGCGAGAAACCTAATTGAGCCCTTGAGAAATGAGTCGTCAAATGTTTTTGTTGTTTGTATCTGGTCAGTGTATGTCTGTGATGTTAGAACTGTCAAACTCAGAGAGCTGAGATGGCATGCAAACGGCCGGCGAATCAAGTCTGTTCAACAAGGTTTCCCAGTGACTGTGGTTCATGTCTGCTGCCTTTCCAGAAACACTGAAACCAGTTGTTGAAGCTTGCTCGCTGCAGAATATGCAATTGAAAACCAAATTCCAAAACCAATCAACCATCCACTTCAAACACAAAATGATATAGACTATGTCGCCAGCAGCAGCTGGAGCAATTCCATGTCTTCACAACTATGCACTCCCAAAGGCAACAACATCTAATGAAACCCATAAATCAGTAATTGAATTCATCCCCAGATCATTGCCTCAAGTGCATGGTGCATGGTCCATTGTGATTCAATGATCACCTGAAGCCCTAGACATGGCACTCATCTCTATCACAGAAGCAGGGCTCGCATCTAAGTAAATACTCACATGCTTTGGGCTTGGTGGTCATTTGATCGTTATATGCCATGGTGCACACCAATGGATTTCTATTGGTCTGCGCTTGATCTGCGCCTGGTCTGCGCCTGGTCTGCGCCACATTGCCAAGTTGTACCAAAACCATTTCTTCTTGTATTGAAATCATGCGATTTAATATGGTCAATGCATTGTAGACTATTCTTTCTTTTTTTTTCACAAATGATCCCAGAAATGAATATTAATTGCATCCTTTTCATTTCTGTCTATTTAAAGCTGAAAGACAATATTTTTACAAAAAATGTTAAAAAGGCGCAGACCAGGCGCAAACCAAGCGCAGACCAGGCGCAAACCAATAGAAATACATAGCGAAACGCGATTCAATTTAACATGGGCAGGGTTCTACACCTCATAAATTTCAACATTCTCAGGAAGTGTAGTCTGCTTAATTTGACACGCATTTCACCATGTATTTCTATTGGTTTGCGCTTGATCTGCGCTTGATCTGCGCCTGGTCTGCGCCACATTGCCAAATTGTACCAAATTATTTTTTCTTGTATTGAAATCATACAATTTTAAAATGGTCAATGCATTGAGACTCTTCTTTCTTTTCTTCACAAATGATCCCAGGAATGAATATCGATTGCATCCTTTTCGTTTCTGTCTATAAATACAAAAATGGCGCAGACCAGGCGCAGACCAGGCGCAGACCAATAGAAATACATTGCGAAATGCGATTCAATTTAACATGGGCAGGGTTCTACACCCCATAAATGTCAACATTCTCAGGAAGTGTAGTCTGCTTCATTTGACATGCATTTCACCATGTATTTCTGTTGGTCTGCGCTTGATCTGCGCTTGATCTGCGCCTGGTCTGCGCCACATTGCCAAATTGTACCAAATTATATATTCATTCTTATATTGAAATCATGCGATTTTAAAATGGTCAATGCAATGTATACTATTATTTCTTTTCTTCACAATGCTATCAGGAATGAATTGATTGCATCCTTTTGGTTTCTGTCCATTTAAACCTGAAAGACAATTTTTTGTAAAAAAAGTT